CCCCAAAACCCCAAAACCCCAAAACCCCAAAACCCCGAGATGAATATAAACGATTGAAAGGCATCTTTAAGAGAATTTACACCTAAAAAGATATTTCATGACAATCCGATCAATATCGTAAGTTATGTATTCGTTGTATCTTAAGCATCTATTCTTTGTTTTACCTATATTTAATTAGATAATAATGACATACTCTCTTCTTGAATTGGTCCCATGAATATCTTAGCATCATCAATGTCTTCACTATGATCAGGAATCCATTTTCCCATTCCTAGAGTTGAATGTTTGCCTCTAGGCAACTTGTTAGCATCATATTTAGCATTAGTCAAATCATTTGTCTCCCCAATGGCTACTTCTCAAAGGAGGAGCAGCCCTTCCTTGTTAGATAAGTGAGAGCAGCAATATCCAGCAGATTTTGATACGATATCTGCAAAGTAGACTCCTTTCCCAAACATGTACCCAGAAACAGGCGCTTCTGGAGGAGCTATTCTAAGCCCTTGGCTTAGAATCCCTCCAAAATTAGAAAATCTTGATCCATGCCAGAGGAGCATCTTATTTCCTACCTTGCCATCAAATTTCTTCTGCTCTCCTTCTCTCTCAATCTTGAACACATCTATTGGTGTCAGCTTGAAATGATGGGTCTTCCCATGAGTAGTTTCCAGCGCCTTAAGCAAGGTTTTGTACTCTGGAAAAGAATCATCCATTGGTACTATTTCACAATTCATCTTTTTATATTGAGCATCTAGCTCATTTGCATCATCATCGCCATCGTCAACTTGGTTGACGATTTCAGCTGCGATCCTGATATCTCTTAAGGAGTCCACTAGATCTAACTTCTCCTTCAGAATTTTAGGAGTATTGATGATGAAATCTTTTAGCTTCTTATATCCAATATCATGAGGAATTGTAGTGTAGAAGTCTCCACTTAGAGTACTAAGTGTACTATTAATAGGCTTTTTCTTAGCTAATTCCTTCTCAATGCTCTTTAGAATGGTGTAGCCATCGGAGATAGTCTGCTTAGAGAGATTTCCCAAAGGCATCTTCTTTACATTGTATCCTACCTTTACAACAGATTTCTCTATCAGATTCATGTTAAAGATGAATCTAATCAAATTCTGTACTTTAGGAGGTAATCCAGATTTCTCTTTTCTTATAGTCTTCTTTTTCTTAATTTTAGCTTTACTATTTTGTTTGCTCTTCTTATCTGGCTCAACAGCAAGTTCAACTTCTTTATATCTATGATTCTTCTTATCATTCACCTTCTTGTTGAACAAATTTGCTCAAAATTGTTCAGTAGATGCATTAATCATTTTAGTCTTGCCATCAATTCCAACCCTTCCCCAGCGTGTCCATAGATATCACCCACTTGATTTATTTCAAGCCTTGGGCAATATAGAACTTATTGTTGTTCTTCTCCAAGTCAGCTCACATCAGATGTGCACTCAGTACCTGGCTGCCATGCTTGATCACTTCATATCCACTTGCTCCTGGGACCTTATGGTCGACCATAACTCCATGAGAAATACTAGAGGTAACCTCTTTAATTTTCTCTTCCTCTTTCGCGGACTTTTTCGAAGATTTGCTCTTATCGGATCCACTAGCATCAGATTCTTGGCCTGAGTCCTCAGATTTCTTCCTCTTGGCCTTCTTCTGTTTCTTATTCTTAGTGGATCCTTTAGCCTTTGGTTTAGACTTGGCACTTGCTTTAGTTTTCTTTGTGTTGTCAGCCTTCTTTTTCCCTCTATTTTGAACGCTAGTATCTATTTTTTCTTCTTCGGAGTCAGAAGAATCTTGCCCTTTCTTCTAGAGAAGAGGTTATAAAGGGAGTTTACCTTTGCAACAGCCTTGATTTCTCTCTTTTTACCTCTTCTTGTTTTTACCATTTTTTAAGTAGGATTTCAGGATATTTTATAAGGGAAGGGGTTTTGGGGTTTTGGGGTTTTGGGG